TGCATTGTCTGCACGACTTATGTTGTTTACTGGTGGCCACTATGGTCTTTGGGCACCATACCAGCTTATTTGTATAGGTATGGTGGATAAAACAGGCAGATACTTATATATAATGTGCGTATATAGCGTAGTAATACCACAAACAGTATTGTTGGAGGAGAAATATTAGTGCATCTGGCCTTGAGGGCAGCCGCCACCAGATGACTGTGTGGGTAATTACCTAAGTAATTACCTAAGTGTAGTTACAGGATGAGAGCTACGCTCGTGGTGTCCCGTCTTCCCAGCACTAAAAGTAGCCAAGTCTTTGTGCCTTTACTCACCATACAAGCTTAGATGTACAGTTATGGTGAACAAAACATGTAAATACTTATATATAACATCTGTGTATAGTGAGTAAATGCAAAAACAGTATTGTGGGAGGAGAATGAAGGCGAGTGAGGTGATGTTGAGGGAGGGAGTGGCAGCGAGTGGCTGGCTGGTTTGTGGCGGTCACTCCTCGTTGCATTTTGACTCAAGACCAAATTAGTGGTTCGTTATGGTGAACAAAACATACAAATACCAGTACTTATATATAACCTGTGTATATAGTATAATAACAGCAAAACTATTTGTTTATTGTTTTATGAACATAATAATTGAATCACTAATATGCACACCATAATTTTGAGTACAGCGATGGTTCATACATTTTATTATATAAATATATCACAATTCACTGTATTGAATAATATTACTGCAAAAAACTAAGAAAATATAAATCAGAGACATTGAAATAATTAGGTAATAATATATTTGTGGCAAATGCCGCCTGACAGCTAAAGCGGAGTAGACCTCGTCTGGCGAAGGTTCTGTCAACGCTCCTTTTTTACCAGATTTCCCTACCCTATTGCGGCTAAAATATGTCACCTACGATTTTTTTGTTATTTTTCCGTGATCAGGGAACAAAAATGAACACATTTATAAGACGAAAGAATTTTTTGGATTTTTTTTTTGTTGCGCCTATGGGTGTTAAAGCCATTTGGACCCCTGGCGGTTTGAGGGTTAACCACTCCACCATCACAACCGTTCAAATGATGATGGTAGCCGAGGCTATTTGCCCATCATCCCGACGGCAATCTGAGGGCAATCTTGGGCACAGTTATTTTATCAAATCATCTCATTTTTTGGGGCCACATGAGCAACACAAACATGTGGTCTTCTGTACATCAGTTGCATAGTGCTCCTGGCAGTATGGGTTCAATTCACTTCTGGGGTGTGGAGTTTTCAGTTGCATATATGCCTGGGGACCATTCAGGCTTGTTCGCATTTGAGTTGCTCACGTGGCCCCAAAACATGACGCGATTTGATAAAATAACTATGCCCAAGATTACCATCAGAGCGCCGTCAGGATGATAGGCAAATAGCCTCGGCTGCTATCATCTTTTGAACGGTCATGATGGTCGAGTGGTTAAGGTCTCCTGTACACTAGTTGCATAGTGCTCCTGGCAGTATGGGTTCGAGTCACTTCTGGGGTGTGGAGTTTTCAGATGTATGTATGTGTGTGTGTAATTAACTAAGTGTAATTAACTAAGTATAGTTACAGGATGAGAGCTACGCTCGTGGTGTCCCGTCTTCCCAGCACTCTTTGTCATATAACACTTTGAAATTACTGCCTATTTTGGCCTCCACCACCTTCTCACCTAACTTGTTCCAATCGTCTACCACTCTGTTTACAGAAGTGAATTTTTTTATATTTCTCCGGCAGCTTTGTTTCGCGAGTTTAAATCTATGACCTATTGTTCTTGAAGTTCCGGGTCTCAGGAATTCTTCCCTATCAATTTTATTGATTCCTGTTACTATTTTGAATGTAGTGATCATACCACCTCTTTTTCTTCTCTCTTCTGGTTTTGGCATATTTAATGCCTCTAACCTCTCCTCATAGTTCTTGTCCTTCAGTTCTGGGAGCCACTTAGTGGCATGTCATTGCACCTTTTCCAGTTTGTTGATGTGCTTCTTAGGATATGGGCACCATACAACCGCTGCATATTCCAGCTTTGGTCAAATAAGTCACAAACAATTTCTTTAGTATTTCTCCATCCACGTATTTAAAAACAAATCTGAAGTTAGAAAGTGTAGCATAGGCTCCTCGCACAATGTTCTTAATGTGGTCCTCAGGTGACAGTTTTCTATCTAGAACCACCCCTAGATCCCTGTCTTTGTCAGAATTCTTTAAAGATTTCTCACATAATTTAGAGGTTGTGTGGGGTCTATGTTCTCCAATTCCACATTCCATAACATGGCATTTATTCACATTAAATTCCATTTGCCAAGTGGTGCTCCATATAATTATTTTGACCAAGTCTTCTTGAAGGGCATGACAATCATCTAGGATTCTTATCTTCCCTATTATCTTATCATCAGCAAACACGTTCATATAATTCTGTATTCCAACTAGCAGATCGTTTATGTAGACAATGAACATTACCGGTGCAAGAACTAAACCCTGTGGTACTCCATTCGTGACATTCCTCCAATCCAATACATTGCCTCTGATTATGGCCCTCACTTTTTTGTCAGTCAAGAAATTTTTCATCCATGTTAGAAGCTTACCTGTCACCCCTCCAATATGTTCGTTTTCAGAACAACCTCTTATGTGAAACTCTGTCAAAAGCCTTTTTTAGGTCCAGATAGATGCAGTCAACCCAACCATCTCTTTCCTGTAAAATCTCTGTGGCTCGATCATAGAAACTGAGTAAGTGTGTTACACAGGATCTTCCAGATCGAAAACCATACTTTCTGATATTATGTCGTTTTTCTCCAGGTGTTCTACCCATTTAGTTTTAATTATTTTTTCCAATATTTACACTATTACACTTGTCAATGATACAGGTCTATAATTGAGGGGGTCTTCCCTGCTGCCACTTTTGTAGATTGGAACGATATTAACCTTTTTCCACATGTCTGCTACGATTCCTGTACACAGGGATGCCTGAAAGATCAGGTGAAGTGGAATGCTGAGCTCAGATGCAAATTCTCTCAGAACCCATGATGAAACTCCATCTGGACCAACTGCTTTGTTTTTACTTAGCTCCTTTAGCATATTTTCCACTTCATCTCAAGACACCTCTATACGCTCTGGAATTCTTATTGTGTCTGGTTCTCTTAAGATTTCATTTTGTACAAACACACTTTGGAACTTTTCATTTAATGTTTCACACATTTCTTTTCATTTTTCATGAATATGTTTCCCATATTCAACCTCTGGATATTATCCTTTACCTGCAATTTGTTGTTTATGAATTTGTAGAATAGGCCCGGTTCTGTTTTACTTTCTGTCTCTCTCCTTACTGCCGTATAATTGTTTCTCGCATCTTTGTATCACTGGTATGTTTGGGGGTTTGGCCACTTCCTATATTGATTCCATTTTTGTCTTTTGGTCTCTGGCCCTCTCGCAGTTTCTGTTGAACCAATCCTGTTTTCTGGACCTGCATCTCTGTTTTGGTATGAATGTTTGTGTGTCTTTATCGTTTATTTTGCAAAATTTGGCATACATTTCATTTACTTCCCTGCCTAGCAACAATTCTATCCAATTACACTCATTAAAATTTTTTCAGTTCCCCAGTGTTCTCTCTTGAAATTGAGTTTAACAACTGTTTCATTGTCCCCATTTTCTTCTAGAGTATATCTTAAAGCATATTTAATGTCCAACAGGACATGATCACACTCTCTTTGATCACCGAGGTTCCTCTGTGTAATTACATAAGTGTAGTTACAGGATGAGAGCTACGTTCGTGGTGTCCTGTCTACCCAGCACTCTTTGTCATATAACGCTTTGAAACTACTAACGGTCTTGGCCTCCACCACCACCTCACCTAACTTGTTCCAACCGTCTACCACTCTGTTTGCGAAAGTGAATTTTCTTATATTTCTTCAGCATCTGTGTTTAGCTAGTTTAAATCTATGACCTTTTGTTCTTGAAGCTCCAGGTCTCAAGAAATCTTCCCTATCAATTTTATCAATTCCTGTTACTATTTTGTACGTAGTGATCATATCACCTCTTTTTCTTCCGTCTTCTAGTTTTGGCATATTTAATGCCTTTAACCTCTCCTTGTAGCTCTTGCCGTTCAGTTCTGGGAGCCACTTAGTAGCATGTCTTTGCACCATTTCCAGTTTGTTGATGTGCTTCTTAATATATGGGCACCACACAACCGGTGCATATTCTAGCTTTGGCCTAACAAAAGTTGTGAACAATTTCTTTAGTATATTGCCATCCATGTATTTAAAAGCAATTCTGAAGTTAGAAAGCATGGCATAGGCTCCTCGCACAACGTTCTTTATGTGGCAACGCACTGTATTATGCACCTTGACTTCTCACAGTAGCTGTATAAACAACTACACCCCCCCCCCCCCCCACCCACCATCATTTATTTTTTTATGCAAGTACTCAATTCACTCTCACAGTAAAGACTAGTAATAATATATTTTTATTTCCAGAAACCTGCTGCACAGGAAGTGCGTGCTTAGTCATAAGCCAGTCACAGTGAAAGGGTCAATAATGGAAAACTCATAACTGCAATACAGTATACATATATACATTTATACTTATATACAGATCTGAGTAAATAATAAGGAGAAAGAACCAGCTTTGGCTGTAGCAACAGTAAACCCAAAGCACACTTTAATACATGAACTGGTTGCAAGTATGGACCTGTGGGAAAAGGGACATTCCTGGTATACATTTTTATCTAATTGTATACTTTATTTAATGGGAGGTCTACTACTTTCCTACACAATACACGATTTATATGGAAACACAGTAAAAAATATTAAATGGTACACCACTCACTTTTCAGAACACACGATATAGAAAAGGGCATTCGGTTTCCACATATATAATAACAACTACAGTACTGTACACAAAAGCCGAGTCCCACATAGACATGAAAGATTACTCAAGTGTATACGTAAAATAAAGCTTCAGCAACTGGGAACTAGGGATATGGGTTTAACAAATTACATACTTCGACTTCGAACGCTTGCACTTCTCTTACTGCGAACAGATGATCCTTGGGAAAAGAAAAAGCACAGAAATAAATTTCTGGAGTTATTTCAAATCAAAAATCCTATGAAAGGTAGCATTAACAACAGTCATCATCTGAATGAGCCACATTAGTGATTTTATCAACTACAGTTGATTGATGCAGGAATCCATGGTTTCCTATGCCAGGCACAGCTTAATACGAACAGTAATGTATTATGAAGCATTTCTAAAACACAAATCTTAGCCTCTTGGTACACATGAATGTACTAATTTTATAAAAATCAATAGTTGAATGTAATGACATGCCCTTATCTTGGTGCCTCAGTAGATTCCCATTGAATTGTCTTTGGTACCAGTTACATCTCGAAAATTACCAGGTCTCTGGGGATGAGGGAATCAATGATCAACTCTAAACCGGATAAAATTGCCCAGAAAGTACAAGCGAGGCAAACTTACTTACTGTATCTTGATTAAAGAGGCAAGATGGAAACAAGGGAGAGAGTAGCTTGCACAAAATTATAAATGTTTCAGGTTTATTAATTTGCTTGCTTTAAGTAGTTTCATCATGCTAACTTCCAAATAAAAGAAACCACAACATCATATATGGAATTACTATACAAGATTGATATTAAAGTGACAAATTTAAAACTATTTAGTCAAGACAAGATGTTTTCATTTTCACCTGATGTAACATCATTGGTTTCCAAAATTATACAATAAAATAGAATTATAACCTTCAGATCAATAAAATAATTAACACTACTTACTAAAGCAGCTGCAAAGTGAATCTGGAACATTTACATTAAAGCTCAAAATAAACATACATTTTGCCATTTATATATAAGCAAAGTAATTTTTTACAGTACAGTATCTTAAAATAAAAAACATGCAAAATACTTTATCTTATTCTAAAGCCCCACAATAAAAAGGTTATATGTTACCTTCTTGACTGTCATGCCCTTCTGCTGTATGCTCAGGCTCAGACTGGGACATAGGCCGCAACATACGCAGGGATGTGCCTCTCCGCCGAGATGGCGAATGTCTCAAAGCTGCAAAGCAAATACCAAAGCAAGGGTAATAGGAGCCTAAAGGCAGTACCGTGAAGCAGTATAATATATGCTCTAATGCACAAAGTCTATTTACAGTAAGAAGAAGAATGCTCAAAGATCAATCTGGAAGATTACCAATATATTGTAATCAAAGTTAAAAGAAGAAGTATTACATATCTGTCTCAAGAACAATGAAAATATTTGAACTACTGTACAAATATTTTATTTTATTTTATTCTGTATCATTTTGAATATTAATCAATATATATTACTAATATATAGAGTACCTAAAACAACAATATGAGAAAACAAATTAAGTGTCTATATCAACCATTTCATTGCACAGCTAAGCCATTACTTCATGTCTGCCTACACATTACCTCTATGCAACTGTTCATTCATCTTTATATTCACTGACAGTACCAGATAAAAAAAAAAAGATCCTTAATAAATATGACATACAGAACTACACCAAAATTTAAGTTTAGGTGTAAAAAATGCAGAAACTTATAAGAAGACTTCTCTACCAGTCCGCATGCACACTAAAAGGGTTTACCATTATTAGCTAAATTCAGTGTTTGCCTCTGGTTCCATCAGCTCTAAGCCCACAACGGCACATTGCACTTAATCACAGTATTACAGCATTTTATAAATGAAACATGAATTTATATACATTTATGCATTAGTCTGCACTACAGAACATTTTTCAATATTGTCAGACGTTTTTGAGACAACTCTTCGTAATTAGTGCTATAAATAAAACTATGGTACGCCCCGTAAGTCACAATAATGTGGCTGAAGATATGATGACAAAAATTTCCATTTTTTGATGACCAATCACAACATGGAGAAACAATGACACATCAGTCTGTCCTGGACCATTATCAGGCTGTATAATAGAAGAGAGGAAGGTACAGGCAAGTAAGAAAGTACCTTCCTTTCTTCTACTACACGACTTTATAATGGTCCAAGACAGACTGAAATGTCGTTATTTCTCAATTTTCTGATGCGTAGTTTGTTCCGTGAAAACTGCATAATATTGCTCAACTAATAAGCAAAATTATACTGTTTATAACAATTATAAATTATGGTTAAAAAAAAACCAGCGTTGAATGTAATGAAATGCCATTTTCTGGGTGAATCCTGGAGGCTTCCCGGAGCTATCCAGGCTGAATTAATATGTATAACTTTCTGGCATCAGTCAAAGTGCTTGGAGTTCTTGCCTACCGAAGACCATGAGTCAGAACCTGGCACCCTCAGAGAGGCACAAGAAGCAATGGGCCTATAGAAAGGCACCCAGAAAGGGAGGCGACGTAAAACAAACCTCTTTTCTTTTGAAAATATTGCTACCGAAAGCCGAACGAGTGGACAGAACTCCCCAAACAAAATTATCAAACTAACAATGTCATCACGTCGCCGCACCGCCATCTGCCCACCCCACCCCCCCTTCCCCAGGAGGTGGAAGGGGGAGCCCCAGACCATTCGCACCGGCGATCCAACCGGCAGTTCTTAGGCTGGATGTCAAAATACGTGAAAAACACTGCCGACCGGAGGGAGGGAGGGATGCCGGGGAGCCTCTGGAACTCACCCAGAAAATGTGTTTCATTACATTCAATGCTGGTTTTCTGGGGGGAGCTCCATTGACTACCCGGAGCTACCTCACCACAGATAAGGAAAAGAGGGAAGGACCCAAGAGACGGACGCCAAGCGCCCTAACTTGAAAAAAGTTCACAGACGAAACCAAAAGACCCTGCAGACGACCTGGGAGACCCGAACCCCAAAACAGAAAGGAAGGGAACCCGGGCAAACAAAAATGCATCCATGGCCCCAGAGGCCAAGACGCGTAGAGAACAGTGAAGAGTCACAACCGAACAACATAGGAAGCGCCCCCGGCTTGACTAACCAAGCAGCAACCCAAGGACCAAACCGAGGAGAAGAAAGAAAATAGACCATCCGGGCTAATGACCAGGACGGCACCGGAAGCGCAAGAGCAGGCCGGAGGTGACAACACCTAAGACAGCAAGTGGAATGGAGCAGAAGGAACAGAAACACAGAACACAAGCTGGAGCAGCTCCACCAGGCTCCGATGACCAAAGCCAGAGCCAACCCAAGACAATTAGGTGAGGCGACAGTACACGGCACCAGATGTCGGTCCCTGAACAACCCCGAAGGGAAAGACAAGACAAAAAACCCTATCAGAGACCAAAGAACTCTTCGCAGTGATAGGAAAACCGGAAGGACCACCAGGAAAACTACACACTGCTGCCGAAACGAAGCACGCAGGTGGGAGACCAACAATGAAGCCACCAGTGCCCACACAAGCGACGAGAAACTAAAGACAAAAACCCGAGACGCGTAGACTCAAGGGGGAAGAATGAACCAGCCTCGAACAGGGCTGGACCGATCTGCAAAAAGAGGAGGAGCCGCAGGAAAACCCACAGGATTGGAAACCGAGTAAAGCAGCGCCCCCTAACCAAGGCAGGCAAAAACCAGAAGAAACAGCTGCCAGGGAACCAGGAACCCAACCCCAGCGAGCTGAAGAGGAACCAACCTGGGTGAGCAGACATGCCCCGTCTGGGAGGAACCCCCCCCTCATCCCTAAGACCCCTGAAGGACCAACAAGGACAAACATCGAGAAGCCAAGGCCCAGACAGAGGCCAATGAGGAAAACAAGTACCATGAACTAAAGCACGAGATGCAAAGCGAAAAACAGCGACCGCGCAACCTAAATGAGCAGCGCAACCAGCTCCAGCAGGGAAGAACAACGCACTCGTCTCTGAGGTATACATGATGAGAACTATGCAGGACGTGAACCTCAGGGAAACAAAAACGTACCTTCCAGAAAAGGAACAAAGAAAAACCGGAGCCAGGACCAGAAGCCTAGCTACCCGTCCCAAGACAAGGAACCAGTAGGGCACGAGTGGTTGACCGGAAGTTCACAACCCCCCGCAGACAGTGCAACATAATAGCATGCAGTGAGATACAAGGAAAATGAAGGAATTCAGTACCAAAACCGAACACCGGGGTAGTCCAAAAGCAGGGAACTGAACATGAACAGAGGCCCGCCCACCCCAGCACCTAACATCAGTATAGCCAATAAGCACTGATCCAGATACACAGCCATGTGTAGCATAGAGGGAGGAAAAATGGAATTAGGCAAGGAAAATGCCGGAAGACGGACCAAGTAGCAGCCGTAACGCAATGTACACGACCGATCACAACGTGTGTTGTGGGAGGTCGCACATACACAGAGGGACACCATGGATATCAGGGTGCAGCCAGGCACCGAAGATAGGCAATGAAGGAGTGTCCAGAGATCAGAGATCGAGCAAGGAATGAGGACACAGAAGCATGGACCGAGGGAATGAAGGAGTATCCAAACATTGGGAAAAGACCCAGGTGCCGAAAAGCTGAACAAACAGCACCGAAATGCGGGATAGTGCCCCCACAGTACAATGAAGAACAAGATACACGGGCAAAGTAAAGACACTGAAAGATGCACATAAGGTGTCTAAGTAAAACACACAACACCTAACAACACTGTTTGGTGCCATCGACGCAACCCTGTCAAGCAGGGATTTGACATGGTAGACAAGGATGGATAATTTAACACGGGCGGTACATGCACAAGGGAACACAGGAGAAAGCTGAGTACCCAAATGAGCCACCGATACATTAGAAAGAACCTTTTCAATGTCAGAGAAGTTAGGAAATGGAATGCACTAGGAAGTGATGCGGTGGAGGCAGACTCCCTACACAGTTGCAAATGTAGATAAGATAGAGTCAAGTAGGCTCAGGAATCTGCACACCTGTTGACCGACAGTTGAGAGGCGGGACCAAAGAGCTATAGCCCAACCCCCACAAGTACAACTAGGTGAGTACCCCCACCAAAAGTCGAGAACTAGCACCTGGCCGACAGAGTCGCCAGACTGCACAATCGCACTTGCAGATCAGACACACGACTGTGTCACAACACAGTCGAGCCGAGTAACATACCAGGAGCATCGCGAGTGGAATATGTCCAGAGTTGCGTGCCCAGCAGAAGACGAGGTGCAGTACAGAGGTGGAGGTGGTGCCACTCTGAGCCACCCCACACCTGCAAGCAGAGAAAAGAACGAAGTGATGTCCCCACATATAAAATCCAGAACACCCCCAGCATCTAGAGGGCTATGACTGGAGAGAGAAGACAAGCAAGAAAGGTGTAGAAAACCGCGATAAAAGACGCGGAACACATGAGTACACCACCCAGAAACAAAACGATCACCCTGGCCCCAGCACCCAAGGTACGAACCGCACCCCCCATCAGCTGGATGGCGCAGCACGTACACCAGTTGGATATACACCAGCAAGGTGTACGTAACGAATACAAGGAATGCCGAAACAGGAAGGAGAGACGAAGTGTAAACAAAATAAGATGAAACAGAATCAAAGAAGACAAGGAGGATGGAAGAGGACCAATGAGTCCGAGAAAAGACCAGAGGGAAACTTCACCAGAAGTCAACAGACGTTCCAATAATATTAGAAGTATCGAAGAGGTCCGTCAACCAATGAGAACCGTGACAAGCAAGCACAAACGCATGGAGGTACATTTGGACAAAAAGAAACCGCTGAGCAAGGGACATGCAGGGACCCCAATATGAAGGGAACAGTATTGCGACATCAGCACGAAAAAGGTGAGGAAAAGGGAATGAAACACACCCCCAGGAATGACGGAACTGACGGACCCTACGGGACACGGAACCGAACCCAGGGAGGGTTTTGGGTCTCCCGAAACCAACACGAATACAGACGGGAAAGGAAAAAACTCCACTCTGAGGAACTGCAAGCCCTGCACCGAGGATACAAGACCCAAGTGGGGCAAAACAGGGCCGAGGTCTTCCCAGGCAACCCCGGGAACCTCTATGGCAGGATCCAAGGCCGATCCGTTCCCCCAAAGCACCAACCTCAAAAGGAAAAGCAGGGGCAGCAGTACAAAACACTAAGGAAAGGAGCCCACTGGA